AGACTCTAATAGTAAATGAAACACATGATAGTAGACTCTAACAGTAAATAAAACACATAACTGTAGATTCTAATAGTGAATGAAACGAATGACTATAGACTCTAACAATGACTGAAACAGTGAAACAGGAGATTGTGTGCGTGTCTGGGGATTTAAGTCGACCGTTTCAGGTTAATGTATATATGCGTATATCGATTATCTCCTACAGGAGATATTAAGTACTACGCATGGGATACTAAGTCCTACGTGGGAGATACTAAGTTCTACGTAGGAGATACTAAGTCCTACGTAGGAGATACTATGTCCTACGTAGGAGATACTAAGTCCTACATAGGAGATATTATGTCCTACCTAGGAGATAATAAGTCCTACGTAGAAGATACTAAGTCCTACTAGGAGATATAAAGTACTACGTAGGATATACCAAGTCCTACGTAGGAGAGAAAGTCCTACGTAAGTCCTACGTAGGAGATACTATGTCCTACCTAGGAGATAATAAGTCCTACGTAGAAGATACTAAGTCCTACGTAGGAGATATTAAGTACTACGTACGGATATACCAAGTCCTACGTAGGAGATGGTAAGTCCTACGTAGGAGATAATAAGTCCTACGTAGAAGATACTAAGTCCTACGTAGGAGATATTAAGTACTACGTAGGATATACCAAGTCCTACGTAGGAGATACTATGTCCTACGTAGGAGATAGGATGTTCTACGTAGGAGATACTAAGTCCTACATAGAAGATACTAAGTCCTACGTAGGAGATATTAAGTACTACATAGGATATACCAAGTCCTACGTAGGAGATGGTAAGTCCTACGTAGGAGATAATAAGTACTACGTAGGATATACCAAGTCCTACGTAGGAGATAGTATGTTCTACGTAGGAGATACTAAGTCCTACGTAGGAGATACTATGTCCTACGTAGGAGATAGGATGTTCTACGTAGGAGATACTAAGTCCTACGTAGGAGATACTATGTCCTACGTAGGAGATACTAAGTCCTACGTAGGAGATACTATGTCCTACGTAGGATATATTAAGTACTACGTAGGAGATAGTAAGGCCAAAAACATTTTTCACCGTGGCCCTACTGCGATATGTTAGTTGTTCCGTTATTATGTTAAAGCACTGACATATGTACTTTTTGTTAGAAGTTTACCGCAGTTATTGGAGGTGCCAACGACATGTGGTCTTAATAAGGTACTACGCGCGTTTTACTGTAGAGATGCCGTGTTTGTCCAATTGAGTTTACAAAACATGTAATCACTTGATAGTCAAACAAGGGGGCAGGTGTAAACGAGGCAATGTCGAGCAGCCATGTAGCTGAACAAATCTAGTTATGATAGAGTCCACCACCAACTGCTCACTAATAGATAGCTACGAATCCCACTATCAACAATGTCGTTCTACAGTCCGATGCTCATGCTGCACCTTCCGTTACAACCTCCGTCAAATTACAGATCTAAGATCTTCATTATGGTCATATTCCCCATAACTAGTTACACTAAACACAACCACATCTCAGATATAAGCTGTTGTGACCGAGACTGATAAACCCATATTGCCCAGTGCAGCGAAGTTTTTCTCTCGCGGGGTAGTATCTCTCCACCCCTTGATCTGTTTGATTCACGATTCAGCAGTTGCTGAGGAACAATGAAGACATACCTTTATGGAGGCGACGTTTCAGTATAGATACTTATACCGTGGTCAAGCAAGAGACTCCACCTCGATCTTCTCATCTGAAGATCCAGTTTTATGAACCTACTGCTGATTGCAGTGTCATAATTAATAAGGGGCTATTACGATCAATCATCCTGCATGAGATTTTAATCCAATGTATCATTGACGTCTTGAGCCCTGTGACGAACCTCTGATCCACTCAACATACTTCTAGGGAAATAGTGACGATGAAAATGTAAGAATGAAAGTGCCCACCCCAAAAGTGTATCGTTTATAACATGGCCAGTATGACGAAAACTAAATTTATTATCTGCCAAAAGGTCTGTATCAGTTTGGGATAAATTCGAATAAACTGGACTTGGACTTATATAACTGATTGCGGGCTCTGCATTGAAGCTTGAGAACGTTCTCTCAAAGGCGGACGGGGGAATGGTTGATATCCCCTGTAAATACTGTTCTTCACATTACAGGACAAAGTCGATGTATTATATGAAGCGTAACTCGTGAAGCTAAACGATGATGGGGAAACAGCACAAGAACGGACAGAAATAACGTTCCAGGATCAGTGACACTGAACATTAACAGCAGTGCCCCCTCTGGTTAGAGCAGTACTACCGTGGGTTAAATGAGATGACCTTGAACAACAGTACTACCGTCGGTTAAACAAGATGACCTCGAACAGCAGTACTACCGTTGGTTAAACAAGTTGACCTTGAACAGCAGTACTACCGTTGGTTAAACAAGTTGACCTCGAACAGCAGTACTACCGTTGGTTAAACAAGTTGACCATGAACAGCAGTACTACCGTTGGTTAAACAAGTTGACCTTGAACAGCAGTACTACCGTTGGTTAAACAAGTTGACCATGAACAGCAGTACTACCGTTGGTTAAACAAGTTGACCTTGAACAGCAGTACTACCGTTGGTTAAACAAGTTGACCATGAACAGCAGCACTACCGTTGGTTAAACAAGTTGACTTTGAACAGCAGTACTACCGTTGGTTAAACAAATTGACCTTGAACAGCAGTACTACCGTTGGTTAAACAAGTTGACCTTGAACAGCAGTACTACCGTTGGTTAAACAAGATGACTTTGAACAGCAGTACTACCGTTGGTTAAACAAGTTGACCATGAACAGCAGTACTGCCGTTGGTTAAACAAGTTGACCATGAACAGCAGTACTACCGTTGGTTAAACAAGTTGACCTTGAACAGCAGTACTACCGTTGGTTAAACAAGTTGACCTTGAACAGCAGTACTACCGTTGGTTAAACAAGTTGACTAACAGCAGCAGTACACAGTACAGCCGTTGGTTAAAGGTGATAAATGAAAATTCAGGTTGTGCAGCAGCAGCAGACAATATATCAAATCGCCATACAAAACGTATTCTAATGCTCAAAATCTGGCAAATTTGACAAGAAGTTAAACTTCAGCTTCCTTTATGATGGTTAATTTGATATTGTTCAATACTGGGCAAATTGGTAGTAACTTTCACTGATTTGCCCGCCGGAGCTGGAAGCAAAAGAGACCAATGAAAACGCCTCACACCTTTCATCTTAAGACCAATGGGCTAAGATTCAGTCCACATTCCAACTGACACCGTTCCCTGTCTGTCAGTCAGGTCCAGCCTTTAGTGTCTTCATTTCACAACTTCTGGGTTACGACTGAGCATGATCTGTCAACGAACATTTCAAGAACGGCATGCGACTTTTCTCCACTGTTGTTTGATCAGTGTTACAACATTAATGTCGTAATTAAGCTCAAAGTGTTTATATTGTGGTTGACATGTAGAAGGCATCTCCAAATGTCAATCCTCGGTGACTGTACAGTATCAGATGCCCTTCCCTATCTAGACATTTACCTCTGTTTTATGTGGACATTTGACTTACGTTAATGTGTGTTTGTGACGGGTCTACGGGAGGAACAGGATACGCCCCATCTGTTTCCCAGCACCTATTATTATGACTCTTTGACAGAGTTTCATTAAAAACATGCTTATGCTATAGTCGGAATCGTATTATGGATTCTCCAGCAGAAATTCCGTATATATTTTGAAAAAAGTTTTGCTGCATTTTCTATCCTACATCGAATAATAAACTGTACCCTCTTTAACTCATGTGTCATTTGTATCTGCCAGATGAGTTGACGGGCCCCACAGGCAGCCCTGGCAGCCCCATTATGCACACTATGACATTCCACTAGTTTGCTGAAAAGCAGTTCAACAGTTGCAATTCAGTTTCATTTCTTTTGTCAGCATTGAGAGAGTTACAACTCATAGATGCTGAATGTCACTGGTGTAATGTTGCACTGAGATTGGCAGATATGCATTACAGCTGACTGTGTAATGAACAAGATCGGCGTTACACTGGTTGTGTGTTTCATGTCGATTTCTCCTGGCAAATGACACGTTACACGACAGGTTTCTCAGATTGTTATGTGCACTGTGAAATTGACTCGACATTATGTCAGCACGATGAATGCTTTGTTTCACTTACAAACTGACATGTATCGACAGGACTGATTACAAGGAATTTTCAACTGCCGTCATTTGTATCATACGCTGATTTGCTCAGTGTCCAACATGATGAATTCATCAATCGAAAAAGAGACGTGTATACCGTGAGAATTTGAAGATATAATTCTTTATATCATGTACTAATATCTGAATTACCGTGAGAGTATGATATTATGCCTCTGCACAGCTTGTTCTAATGTTGAATTATCGTACCCGTATGATATATTGTATCTTTGTATAGCATATGCTAATGATTGAATTGTCGTTCTGGAATGCTAATTATACGCTGTGTAGTATCAGTTGTACATGTACTTTAATTGCTGTTCGCTTATGAAAGTTTAACTGACATAATAACACCATACTCTAACGATTGCTATTGACGTAAAGTTCACTACATGATAAACAAGTTATTCTATATTCGTTCAGTCTTCACAGGTTTCCACATTTCCCCGTCCAGTACAATTATCATGAAACAACCTACCTTGACCGTATGATGTTTTTATCGGGTAGTTTTAGAGCAGGTAAGTGAGTGTAGTTTTATACTATTACATGACGGCCTGTTGGCCAGGTAAACCAGGAAGTGCCAAACCACGTGAGCAGCGCACTGCAATTACTCCTACCCATTGCAGTTATGTAACATCATAATGAGTGACACTACATAGGGTTTAATTCCGGTGTTAACCTGCAGGACACATTTGGCTACAGTAACCAACATCATGGGTTGTTAGCAACATGTAAACTATGGAGTTGACGAGTAGGTGATTCAACACGTAGGTAGACATTCTATGCACTTTACTTACCTTGACGTAACAGTACTGTGCCTGATAGCTGTAAACCCGTATCTAATCTGTCTGGTCCGCCAGATGTCCCTAACCCACTGACACACCTGTACTGATATACCGACTCAACGCTCCGTCATAGGCGGGTGCAATCTCCTCAGACCACGTCTTCCTACACGGGCTAGGGTTGCCTGATGACGCTGGAATGGCGACCGCGCTGTTATCATGTGACAACTTGACGACGTCTTGTCGGGTGTAATGAAATGGGTAGTTTATCTTAAGGTGCGTTTGCACCGGTCGAATGTGTATCTTACTTTTTCTGACTCGCAGATTTCTAATGTAGTTCTATTCAACTCTTTTAAAAAATGAAAACTTTTTCTCATAATACACAACTACTGCTTGGTATCTCAGTAATCTTATCTTCAAAAATTAATACATTTGCTAAGTCAGTAAAGTTTGGCATAAATATACAACATTTCAAACATGAAGGGAACATGCGGTATCAAATTCATTTCTTTCTTCAGTGTACATGGAAACAATTCTTTTTTACACAAAAAACTCACATTGTTTACAAACTGTTGCAGGGTTGCAGGGTGATTTAAGACATGATCAAATTTAACAACCGTTCTGTTAATTTTAGATTACACAAAAAACACATTAAATGTTTTGCTCTTCAGTTTACATGTTCTTGAACTACCCGGGGAATGAAACTCATTGTTTATTGAACTGAACTATGTTAGCGTATGTGAATTGTACATAAAGGCCGCGAAAAGTGTATATATACTGTGCTTAACAAAACCTGGGACATATGGACTGGCGCACATTGACGGCCAGAAGGGCGCACATGCCCGCCAGCAGACTGCTGGTTCTGTAACCCGCCATGAGAACTCTGCTCGATAGACGTCATCATCAACTGCAGTTTCAGCAGCAATCATCTCCTCGGTCCTAGTTGATTACTGAGGAGTGCAACACTCCATGATGTGTCGAAAGCTTGGCAAATATAACACACTGAGCATGCTGTGTTGTAAAGACTAACATCTGTCTCAAATATAACACAGTCTCTGAGCATCTAGTCTCTGAAATGTGCTGACTAACATCTAGTCTCTGAAATGTGCTGACTAACATCTAGTCTCTGAAATGTGCTGACTAACATCTAGTCTCTGAAATGTGCTGACTAACATCTAGTCTCTGAAATGTGCTGACTAACATCTAGTCTCTGAAATGTGCTGACTAACATCTAGTCTCTGAAATGTGCTGACTAACATCTAGTCTCTGAAATGTGCTGACTGACATCTAGTCTCTGAAATGTGCTGACTAACATCTAGTCTAGTCTCTGAAATGTGCTGAAATGTGCTGACTAACATCTAGTCTCTGAAATGTGCTGACTAACATCTAGTCTCTGAAATGTGCTGACTAACATCTAGTCTCTGAAATGTGCTGACTAACATCTAGTCTCTGAAATGTGCTGACTAACATCTAGTCTCTGAAATGTGCTGACTAACATCTAGTCTCTGAAATGTGCTGACTAACATCTAGTCTCTGAAATGTGCTGACTAACATCTAGTCTCTGAAATGTGCTGACTAACATCTAGTCTCTGAAATGTGCTGACTAACATCTAGTCTCTGAAATGTGCTGACTAACATCTAGTCTCTGAAATGTGCTGACTAACATCTAGTCTCTGAAATGTGCTGACTAACAATGTGCTGACTAGTCTCTGAAATGTGCTGACTAACATCTAGTCTCTGAAATGTGCTGACTAACATCTACATCTAGTCTCTCTGAAATGTGCTGACTAACATCTAGTCTCTGAAATGTGCTGACTAACATCTAGTCTCTGAAATGTGCTGACTAACATCTAGTCTCTGAAATGTGCTGACTAACATCTAGTCTCTGAAATGTGCTGACTAACATCTAGTCTCTGAAATGTGCTGACTAACATCTAGTCTCTGAAATGTGCTGACTAACATCTAGTCTCTGAAATGTGCTGACTAACATCTAGTCTCTGAAATGTGCTGACTAACATCTAGTCTCTGAAATGTGCTGACTAACATCTAGTCTCTGAAATGTGCTGACTAACATCTAGTCTCTGAAATGTGCTGACTAACATCTAGTCTCTGAAATGTGCTGACTAACATCTAGTCTCTGAAATGTGCTGACTAACAACATCTAGTCTCTGAAATGTGCTGACTAACATCTAGTCTCTGAAATGTGCTGACTGACATCTAGTCTCTGAAATGTGCTGACATCTAGTCTCTGAAATGAACATATTTTACAGAAAGGAAATGTTCCTAAATAATAATTATAAAAAATAATGAAAAGGAGTAGACACTTTCTTCATTTTCAGACCTAAACTGTGGTAATTCAGACTTTCCACATAAGCAAGACTCGCATTGGCTCTCTTGGAGATATTTGTTTAAGGGTCTGTTTGACAGACTAGTACTGGTATGATAAGAAATGCAGTCGTCTGTTCGCTGTGTGAGATGGGGTTGTAGACATGCCATCTGTGTGAGATGGGGTTTAAGCCATGCCATCTGTGTGAGATGGGATTGAGGCCATGCCATCTGTGTGAGTTGGGGTTGTAGACATGCCATCTGTGTGAGATGGGATTGAGGCCATGACATCTGTGTGAGATGGGGTTGTAGACATGCCATCTGTGTGAGATGGGGTTGTAGCCATGACATTTGTGAGATGGGGTTGTAGCCATGACAGATGTGTGAGATGGGGTTGATGGGGTTGTAGACATGTCATCTGTGTGAGAAGGGGTTGTAGCCATGCCATCTGTGTGAGATGAGATGGGATTAAAGCCATGCCATCTGTGTGAGATGGGATTAAGCCAGCCATCCATGACATCTGTGTGAGATGGGGTTGTAGCCATGACATCTGTGTGAGATGGGATTGAGGCCATGTCATCTGTGTGTGAGATGTTGAGGCCATGACATCTGTGTGAGATGGGGTTGTAGACATGCCATCTGTGTGAGATGGGGTTGTAGCCATGTCATCTGTGTGAGATGGGGTTGTAGCCATGTCATCTGTGTGAGAAGGGCTTGTAGCCATGCCATCTGTGTGAGATGGGATTAAAGCCATGCCATCTGTGTGAGATGGGGTTTAAGCCATGCCATCTGTGTGAGATGGGGTTGTAGACATGCCATCTGTGTGAGATGGGATTGTAGCCATGACATCTGTGTGAGATGGGGTTGTAGCCATGACATCTGTGTGAGATGGGATTGAGGCCATGTCATCTGTGTGAGAAGGGGTTGTAGCCATGTCATCTGTGTGAGATGGGGTTTAAGCCATGCCATCTGTGTGAGATGGGGTTGTAGCCATGTCATCTGTGTGAGATGGGGTTGTAGCCATGTCATCTGTGTGAGATGGGGTTGTAGCCGTGACATCTGTGTGAGATGGGGTGGTAGCCATGCCATCTGTGTGAGATGGGGTTGTAGCCATGCCATCTGTGTGAGATTGGGTGGTAGCCATGCCATCTGTGTGAGATGGGGTTGTAGCCATGTCATCTGTGTGAGATGGCGTTGAGGCCATGCCATCTGTGTGAGATGGGGTTGTAGCCATGTCATCTGTGTGAGATGGGGTTGTAGCCATTTCATCTGTGTGAGATTGGGTGGTAGCCATGCCATCTGTGTGAGGTGGGGTTGTAGCCATGTCATCTGTGTGAGATGGGGTTGTAGCCATGCCATCTGTGTGAGATGGGGTTGTAGCCATGTCATCTGTGTGAGACTGGGTGGTAGCCATGCCATCTGTGTGAGATGGGGTTGTAGCCATGTCATCTGTGTGAGATGGGGTTGTAGCCATGTCATCTGTGTGAGATGGGGTTGTAGCCATGTCATCTGTGTGAGATGGGGTTGTAGCCATGTCATCTGTGTGAGATGGGGTTGTAGCCATGCCATCTGTGTGAGATGGGGTTGTAGCCATGTCATCTGTGTGAGATGGGGTTGTAGCCATGACATTTGTGTGAGATGGGGATGTAGCCATGCCATCTGTGTGAGATGGGGTTTAAGCCATGGCATCTGTGTGAGATGGGGTTGTAGCCATGACAACTGTGTGAGATGGGGTTGTGGCCATGAGATCTGTGTGAGATGGGATTGTGGCCATGCGATCTGTGCGAGATGGGATTGTAGCCATGACATCTGTGTGATATGGGGTTGTAGCCATGACATCTGTGTGAGATGGGGTTGTTGCCATGACATCAGTATCACCGACCCAGACTGGGTTTGCCTTACTCTGGTGGATAACCAAGGTCATCCATGGTTAGAGTTTGTTGGGGCTTACATGAGAAACAAAGTACAGTTATAATAGTGTCCCATCTTGCGTACTCTGCACACTGAAGATATGAAATCTGACAAAGTTCTAAAGAAAAACGCTTCCTGATTTGAAAAGCAAAGGTCAAATTGCATTCTACAAAAATGGTAACCTGATCACGAAACCAGGTAATCCTGACAACTCGAGACCGGACAGGACGCGCAGATATGCCCATGCTACTAGACAAGAGACTTCAGCGTCTGCGTCTGCGTCTGCGTCAGCGTCTACACCGGGTCCGGAGTCAGGACATCGGCCTGGAGACCCCCCCCCCCTTTCTCATCGTCTGCTGACTGCATCGTCCCCATGGATGGGAGCTTAGGAGTCGGGCCGGCCCAGAACGACGACCTACAGCATAGCATACAGCAGGTTACTACGTTACAGTTACAGTATTAACTTTAGAGTCTTAACGTGGAATATAGAGGGTTTTCTGTCAAATGTCGATAACCCAGATTTTATTGCTTATATACAAAACTCTGTCTGGTAGAAACATTTCTGGATAATTTAACAGCAATAACTCAGTTCTCTGCTTACGACATGTACATATCTAAAGCACATAGAATAGCAAAGGCTGGAGGTGATCGTTTTGGTGACACACTCTAGCTAGTAAATGCCAACAAATTCCCCTAGATATAGACAATGTTGTCTGTATCAAACCAGATAAAGTACAGTTGGCAACAATAAAGATGTCCTTGTATTTGCAACATATGTTCCACCTATCGGCTCGACGTCTTATGTCGCAACTGACGCCAAAGATACCGATAG